AAAGTAAATAAAAGTCATAAATACACATAAAATATTTTGAGCAACAGCTCCCACTTCCAAGTATTTACAACAAGGTCCAACTTTGCTAGAAATCTAGACCTAGCTGTAATTTTCTTCATTTCCATTTAGTTTGGCTATCTGCTATGACAGCTAAAGACCAGGCTCCATATGCGACTGTTGTTGCATCTTTCAAACCTAAAGATCTGCAAGACAGTTTGTAAAGCCACATGAACAGCCAAAGTTAAAATGACAGTCAGCAATAAAAAAAAAAAAAATCAGACATTACACAGCAAAGAATGAAAAGGGGAATCAAGTAAAACATGTGAAATACCGTATTTAGCGGGAAGGTTAAAGGTGTGGTACTAGTACAGGATTATAGAAATTTTAAGTTTGCCAGCTAAGAAAATACTGCCCTTCACGCAACTTTTGTAAAGTTACTTCAGTTATCTGGGCAGCACGTATCACACTGGGCACACAGTGCAGCTCATTATGACTATTTATTTTCAATGAAATGAGGTTTAAACAACTCATATTCAATGTAACTGGTTTTAATTTTTTAATATTAACATTTTTATTCAATTTGGAATAATCACCTCGCTTTTTCTATGAATGAAGGAATTGCTCAGACCTTCTAGGAATTATATGCTTAGATTACTAAGTAAATACACACACACAACCCAAAGCAAGAAACAGGCTTTCATTTGAGCTGCACTGCACCGATCCAGAGAAAAAAGGCATTTTTTCCTCTATGGTACAGTCCAAAAAGCCTCACCTAACTGTAGGTACTGGACATCCTCAGCACTGGTATCTGCACCTTGTTGAAAACCACAAAATCTAAAACGGTCCTAAGAAATGTCTCGTACACCGCACGAGAAAAGGACAAAATTGCAGTCAATGAGCTAAGGACACGTAGAAAACCATAGGGCAGCATTTGCTTAGGAAACAAGGCAGCATTCATGCAGAACCAACCTTTTAGTCTTAGTCTGAAATATTCCTAGTTCTACAATTAAATCTGCAGCGGTTTTCCCCACATTATACTAAGTACAGGGTTGAAACAATCAAACCAGCAATTGGTAAGGACCTGATCCTGCCTCCACTGAACCACTTGGCCAGGCTCCTCCTGGCTACTGCGGAGCAGGGGATCGCATCTGTAACAGCAAGACCTAGAAAACGTCTACAACGGGCAATAATAACCGCTGCGGGCCCAATCCTGCAAACATTTCTACAGGATTCAGCAGAGTCCAACCAGCTCCCTCGAAACACGACTGCCCTCGAAACAGGGAGAGTTTCAGCACAGAGTTCCTACTCTGAAATGTTCGAAGAACAGCTACTCTTGTTCCTCACACTATTCTTCAGACAATAATGCCACTAATTCTTTAAAAACCAATAATTAGAAACATCACCCTTTGTTAACCTAAGCAACCAAATATCAGAGTGATAAAGAGCTTTTAAATTAAATTATATATAATCAATTTGAAGCATGACCAAGAAAGCTTATATGCCATTAAATCAGACATCAATGCTATTAATTAATGTTAATGCCATTCAGCACTAGAAAATTGTCCATTTTTGTATTTATTTTTTAAGAGGAAATAATTCCCACTGACATGATGAGGAATAAAATATGGTAACATTGCCTGACCGCACTAGAACTGTGCTCTCTGAAAGCCAAAACCTGAGCATCTGCCCACAGTACGTACACAACACAAGGCAAATGCGTAAAGAGCTTCAGCAGAAATGTTAGTTGCTTCTGCATCCTTGGCACAATTTTTTTTTTCCCAAAAGCACTAGTATGAAAATAAGAATCCGAAGGAGAGTTAAACACGTCCTTCTGCTAATTTATATAGTGCTAATGTTTTTCTTCCAATAGCCAAGCTCCCTATGGCTTGCATCACATGTTTTTTGCCTTAAAGCCACCATACCTGTATCTTTTGTTATCCACTGGCACAATATCCATAGCAATATAATACTGCTGATGTGGGTCTAAACCTGAGATCTTCACTCTCATTGCGGGAAACATCCGCCTGAACATGGAAAGAGAGAGGTCATTTTTAATATGAAACAGACTCGGGAACGGTTGTTTAGGAAAAGTAACCGGTGGGATTTTTCTCGTCCTTCCTTTTAGCCTACAGAGTCCTTTTGGACGATTATAGTTACATAGCCATGAAATGGCCCATTCGATATGTCAAAACAGATTTCTGAAGTGCATTTACTCGAACAATGCTTCGTATGTTTGGGGATACGCTTTGGGAGTACAACTATTACCACATCATTTCAACTTTATTGTTAGACAGTAAATCATTTGGGTTTGAGACTTGACTTTGGCAGTACACGCATTTAAAGCCCGTTTGAGATATCAGCTAGAAATATATTTCTGGAGATGTGCAAACACCACCTCCACCCAGGAAGACCAATACTTACAGAAATGCAAATTGCCACTGAGGTCTCAACTGACAGCAGCAAATGGTGCATCGGTTCCGTAGCAGCAAATTAGAAAGCTAAATCCACGGTGACACAATTGTAACACCGCGAGGATGCGGTTATAAAAGCCAAGGTGCCATGCTGTAACCCAACAATATGGTCTTTATTGAGACGGGGCTTCCTGCCTGCGACTTACTAAAGGTGAACTGCAAGAGCTACTCTGCCTTTGAAAGGTATAGTAAAACTTCTTTATTGAAAGCAGAAACGAATCTACAAGGTAATTTCTAAAAAAAAAAAAAAAAAGAAAAAAAAAAAACACCACCAAAACCAAACACACCAAAAAAACCAAACCCAAAAAACCAAACGTTCACGATTTAGATCCTTCTGCAGAGAAAACGGAGTAATTAACCGATGCGGTGGTTCTAACAGGGAAAAAAAAAAAAAAAGCACTTCCTAGCTCACATTTGGTATGCCTTTTATCAGGAAAATTCATTCTTGAAGCCAAAAGAAAAAAAAAAATATCCTAGTGACGAGCTGACTGCAAGCTAATGAAAGGTACTTTTCTGAATTTTATAAATCTGAAAGCCATTCCAGTTTATTCAGTATTTACTGCTGTTCTAAAAAAAAAATATATATACACATATATATATAAATCAATTAAAAGTCGTTACTGGAAAGAAAAATCCTATCTCCGTTATTTCTGAACAAGCAGGAGGGTAAACCTGACTGCGGTTAACTAGCTTTTGCTGTGATTTCAGTGCACCTGTAAGATAAAACAGAAATTCCCCGACTGGACTCTCTTAAGACAAATGTTGCTTTGTGCTGTTTAAGACTGCGTTTCAATCATTAATAAAGCCTCTCTGGAAATGCAGAAGGTAGCATATGGATTCAATAAAATATGTTTTTGTAATTTCTAATAA